GCAGGAGGGTGGGATGAGGGTGGGGGTAGGGGTGGGTGGACAGGGGTAGCTCATTATATTTCAGTCACATAAAATGGGGCCTGACTCAATATCCTGAAATGTCTTACGTTGGCAATTCTGACTAATATAATTTAACCTCTACAGACAAGCCTCATTTAATTTGCACCACTGAGTGGAAAACCTCTAGCAGCAGAGAAATGAGCAAACACTGTAAAAGACATTGAACAGCAGAAATAACAATGATAATTTACCTTAAAAGGTTATCAATTTGTAAAGCTCTTAAGGCAGATGAACCCTTGTGGAGGAAGCTCAGTGAAATACTGCAAAACTGGGGGAACATTTTTTAGAATTGGGTTCTGGAGGAAAGCACGATGTACAATTTATATGGCATGCCAACTAATACCCTACATCTTAATAGGGTTACTAGCAGCCCTTTAATCTGTGGCCCAGTTAGCGATGGGTTTCTGCAAACTGTGAGAGCTTTTTTAATTCCCCAGGCCCCCCAAAGCATGATGCTTAATTATATCAGTCATCCCATGTACTCCTCTAACTGAGTTTAAGAATGACTTGTAACCTTAGCAAAATCAGAAAGGTCTGACTTAAGAAAATATAGGATGCAAAATACCCCAGGAGGGTAAGGAGACTGCCAGTCATTTGTGAACAAAAAAATATTTCTCTCAATTTGAAAATTTATAATTCTAGTGTATTTTTTCAACAATAAATGTCAAACAGAAAGAGCCTTCTCTGCTCCCCTTCCCCAGACCCTGACAGTCTGGGAAAATTTCTCTTTTAGGCCACTTGCGTATTTAAAGTGTAAGTCTGGCTGATTTTACAAGACAGAAAGAAAGAGTGAGGGTCTCATTGTCTTTCAGAACTTTTATCAGGAGTTTGGCCAGGACTGTCACCAGTAATCGGCTTGCTAGCTTAATGAGAGACTTCATGAGTATTGTGTTACAGAGGTGGTATGCGATGTCTGGAGTGTCTAAGGATCCACAGCAGAGAGAGTTATCATTATCCAATTTTATCCATGGAAGTGAAAAAGAGAGTCTTAGGAAGAGAAGCAGGAAGACTTGATATAATTGTTCCAATTCATTCCCTTCCAGAGAAGATCTGAAGGAAGAACTTAACACCTGCACACCCCATTTCTGAAGCGGGAGAGTTGCTGTTTTTACCAAAGTGCTGCTATTAAAGCACCATCTCAAGGCAGTGCAGCTGAGATAGACACTTAGAGCTGGGCCCCTGAGAATGAGCAGCAAACAGCTGCACAGTCCCTCTCACACAACAAATGCACTTGGAATAAAGACTCAGGAAGAGGAAGTGCCATCTTTCCTTACAGCTGAGGCTATCAGATGCACTGAAGTGACACGTGTTCTCCTACACCACACAGTCTGTGTCAGAGCCCAGCTCAGCCCTGTACAGAGTTTGTGACTTCCCCACACTGTAGTATTGTGTAGCATTGCCTAAACTGATCTTTCATCCTAAAGGCCAGCCTTGACCAGCTAACAAACAGATCACAAAATATGTGTACTATGAAAAAGTATTCCCTATTTCATGTATTATTTCATAAAACATTCCTATGAAACTTACCCAGGTGAGTAAGAGAGAGCCACAGAGTGAGGCTAGAGTTATTTTCCACCCAAACAGGGACATACTGTTATAATAAATGACAAGTCTAAACAAATATTACCCACCAATATGTTTATGCTTTTCCCTCAAAACATGTGTTCTTGGGTTTTGTTAGTAATTTCATTACTGCTTAGGAATACAAACAGGAAGATGGAACTATCTTAAATTATTGGGCTTTTTTCACATTGAAATTTTCTGGAAGTTAGAGATTCAGGCTTCAACCTTCTCAATTCTGCTGTATTGAGAAGGTGGGGAGAAGACTTCCCTGTTCTCCATCTCTTTTTATCTTTTTTGGTATTAATAAAAAGTGCTTTTTTGTTCATCTTGTGCATCTTTACCTTCTGGATAATATTATTGTCTCAAATTGACATGTATTTAGCAAAAATTTTATGAGTGATCATTTGCCTACTCTCTAGTCTATACAGACCTGTAACGTTAACAGAAATTCTCTGTGTTCAAAGGCCAGAAAAGGCGGATTATTTCAGAGCAAATGGCATTTGCACCAGGTGAATTGAATTTTTTGAGCAACGTCTGGGTGATTTTTTTAAAAACCTTTTTTTGTGTCAGTAATACATGCATTTAGATTATATTCTAAGCAAACTCAAGACACCAAAGTATAGGATCAGGGAGAGCCGTGCAGCCATATTTACAGGTTGGTTGTTAGCAAGTTCTCTGCCACCCATTTGACCCACATTAGATAGGTGAATTTCAGACATGAAAAACATTCTGCATTGAGCTCTGCCAAATAACCTTTGGTTGCACAGACATTTCCTGGGGTCAGCCATGCTGGCTCTGTGTTTGTAGGAGTTAAAGTGCACTGCAGAAAGGGGGGGAAGTGCCTTCCTCCTCCTCCTCAGAAATACCCTGTAGAGGCCACAAGTGAGATTTTCATCCCTTTAGATGGATAAAAAGGAGAGGAAAGTGGCAAAACTTCCTTAATGAGCAAACATCTGGCATTAGATTTTTCTTTCTGTTCATTGAGCCTGTTTTAGGAGACAGAATTGTGAATCTCAACTTCATCTGCTACAGCATATGCTGCTCAATAGCCAAGAGTGTTCATTGGATTTGCAACATGTTTATTTCTCCATTTAAAGTTGTATTCTAGTTCTAGAATGGTTTCCAAGTAGTGAACAGCACTTGCAGGTGGGCCAGCAGCTGCTGGCTGTCCATAAAATGCAGGTTGCATCTAGTACCTCAGGTGAAAAAGCAGGAAGGGATAAGAATTATGTCTTGAACATTTCCTCTTATTTTATCTGACTTGGACAATGCTACATGGACATCAAATGCTGGGTAATGAGGTGCCAAGTGTCAGCCCAGGGAACCAGAAAAGGAGAGGGTTGGGAATCAGTTTGTCAGTAAGCAGCTCATATGCCCATGTCCCTCCCAAGCAGAGCACCCTCAAACAGGACATCCAAGAAAGAGGTGCCATTAGTTATGGTCAAAAATATTGGCCTTCCTCTTTAATAAAAATCTGCTTAAAAATCACAACTCAGCCTAAGGCTGATAAACCTCTGCCAGCCAATGCATCTCCTGGCAGTGGGACCCAGTACCATTTCTGGTGTCAGTAGCTCTCAGCTTCCTATGAAGCCCCAGACAGTCTTACTGGGGTTTAGGTGTCTTTGTTTATCGTATACAGGGACAATATTGTAATTGGGTCTGTAGTACAACTACAGACCTCATGGACATGATCCTGATTCCAATCACAGCACAGACACAATAGCACCTCCGACACACTGCCTCCCTTGGCAAATAACTCAGCCACTTTAATTTAAACCTCATTTTCCTCATCATAACAATATGGACAATTATATACCAACTTAAGACATTATACAGACTCAAGACATGTATGCACAGTATTTAGAATCCATGCATCCTGCCTGCACCAAATCCTGACTTGCTTGTCTCTTTGAGTTCTTTTTGGCTTGTAAGCTTCTGAATCAGGATCCACATATAACACCTCATAAAATTATGTCCTGCCCTAGGCTCTTGGTTCTGTACCAGCACAAACTTTAACAGCTTTAAATGCTGAAAGGACTAAGTGGAAACACTTTTGAATAGTTTAGAGAACAGTATGTGGCTTTTAGAAGCAACAGGGTGGGCATACAGTACCAATAAACCTGAGAGAGCAGTGTTTATACTACACAGCAAATCTGGAAAGGGCCATTGGGGTGCAAGGCAGGGGAAAGCCTGGCCTGAGACTGACTTACTGCTGTCAGCCTGTACAGCAGGAGCGAGCTGTAATAATCCGGGTGCTACAAAGCAAACATAATCAAGGGGAGGAAAAGTGAGCACAGACACAGTATGATTCAAAGCAGGCAAGTAAGCTGCTGCATTAAGTCTTTTGAATGGAGTTTCCTGGAAGGACCCCTGAGCATGACCCTCAAGCTCTAGGTTTTTGCCAAATTTATTTGAGGAGGAAGGAGGGCGGGAGGCATGTTTTCTCGAGGGGAAAAAAACTCACCCCGCTAAAGCTTTCTGTTGCCAGGGAAGGTCAGGGAAAATTCAGGAAAACTCCTTTTTATGTTCTTTATGATGTTTACTCTTGCGCAGAGCCAAGAGAGGAATGAGAAAGGCTGCAGCATGATGCAGGGCTGCAAAAGCTGTGGGTGACATAAATGGTGTGTTTCTCTTTGCCGTCTGCCGAGTGCTGCGGGGAAAATCTGTCCTAAATAGACAAACGAGAAGCCATGAGAGTGTCGGCTGGCTCTCGTCAGCCGGCGTCCCCCGGGCCAGCCCGCGGCTCCGGCGGGAAGTACACAGCGGATGTTTAATGAAAGGGCTGCTGCGGCTTATCTCCGCGAGCAGGGGACTTCTTTGTGAACTCGCTTGCTTTGAAAGATATGTGGCCCACTATGCTGGTATTGTTGGCTCTCGCTTTAAGCGCAGCCACATGATTCGCATAGGAGCTGTGCGCTGCGCCTGCCAAGGAAAGCTTCCCCTGTTCTCTCCCTGGTTGGGAGTAAACTCGGCAGAAGGTCATCGAGGTCACAAGATCTGCCTGTTATTGCATTTTACAGGAAGGAAGATACGTTGTCTTTAGATCAGTTTATCAGCTGACTTTCCTGTGAAGAAGACTGAGGCTATTTTCCTGTGTACCACCACCCCCGTAATTCCCAAACGAGTGTGTTCTGTTTGCATCTCCTGTCAGCTCAGCTGTGTGCATTTCTGAAACAGCCCAGTATTAAGCAAACAAATAAAAAAGCCATTGTGAGACATCGCAGAGTCCACATCCCTTATCAAACTGCCTGACAGGCCGGGATAAATCTCTTCCTCGAGGCTGCCTGTCATCTCCCTCCCTCCCTCTCAGCGTCAATGCACAATTAAATCCGTTGTGGTGAAATAGACTCAGCGGATAGTTGTGGAGAGTTACTTACATGGATGCTGAGAGCAGCAAACAGCCTAACAGACTCCTCTGCTTTCGAGGCAGTTTCTTTTGAGCCTGCACCTTTGAAGAGCCATGAGTATTTGGTTTTGTTGTATTTGGGTTTTTCTGGTTTTGTCCTTTAAAGTCCCAGGTTTCTGAGGATTTTTTAAAAATAAGCACTCCTTTTTCTGTGCAAGGGAGCAAGCAGAGTGCAGAGCTGTCTCCTCCCTTCCCAGCCTCCTTTGAGAGATCCCTGCTTTCATAAGGTTTTCGGCTGGGGAATGGTAGCTTGTTTACTCCCTGTGCTCACTGTGACAAATGCATTTCTGTGACCAGGAAACTGCAGATGTTACAGATGCACTAAGGCATATCTCATTAGCTAATTATTCTTAATCTCTGATGGATTGCACATATTGAATAATGCCATTCATTGAGTAACAGCTGAAGGGAAACTTCCTGGCTCCAAAATATATAGGGTGGCAGCTTTAATTGTGTTTTCTTTTCCTTCATGTGTAAAGATAAAATAACCCTCCAGAGCTCCCCTCTTCTAAAGAGTGCTGGTTAACATAGCAAGAACTGGCACGTGACACAATAAATTTGCTGGTTTTCAAATGACCCTGTTTTCTGGACTGCAAAACTGAACCGCACAGGAAAACAGCTACTAATATTTAATAATATCCACTATGGTTTTTGCAACATTGATCTGTTTCCATTTTTGCAGCTCTTATATTTACATGGAAAACCCTTGTCCTCTAGTTCCAAGGGTCTTCACACTCCTATAATGATCCAGAGAGGAGAAGGATCTGAAGAAAATGTCAGTGAAGATCCAACCTCATTCACAATCCTGAAGAGAAAGGATCATGACTTATATCATTATTCCCACAGCATTTTCACTACCTTTAAGTTCTCTTATATTTTAACAATCATGCTTGTAATATAATATATATATATATATATATATGTATGGAGAGAGAGAGAGAGAGAGAGAGAGAGAGAGAAATGTGGAAGCATTACAGATATATCATCTTTATTCTTAAATAATGTTCCTTTATTGAGTTCTGGCAGCTGGATTGGTACTGAACCTTGTCAGTAGCTGACTGGATATTCCCCACACTAGTTCAGAAAATGCTCTCACAGTTTTTAGTGTGAGTGACTAATCATGACTGTCAGAATATAGCCCTTAAACATGAAGACAGCATTTTATAATACAAAGGGTATGTAATCATTCTGGCAGTTTAAAAAAAAAAAATTTAAAAAAAGAAATTTTAAAATACCTTGTACTGCTCTGTCTATTCTACCTTATTTGGAAATCTAAATTGGAGTATTTAAGAGACAATTATAACAAAGCTGAAATGGGAGGCAAAAGATGAGGAAAAATCCTTCTGAGGTTTATTATTACACAAATGGGGTTTGGTTTGAACTCTTTAATTTGCCACTTGCCAGCCTGTGTCTAAGAAGTAACCTTGTTTGTATTTCAACAAAGAATCTCATTCTTTTTTTCAATAAAAAGACCTGGCAATAATTCTGTTGGCACTAGATGAAGAGTTCGCTTATTCCGCTGGTGATGGTTTCTTTTGTTGTTATCTAGTTTAATGAAAACTTCATAAAAAAAACTCTGGAAGTTTATAGATAAAGCTTATGTACATTTGTTCAGGTCATATGCCAAGGGGTAACTTCTTATTTCAGAAGTCATTGCACTAGGGAGAAATGTGGTTAATACTAGCACTTCTTGCAAGTCGCAGTCTTTATTCAGAAGCTGGAACAAGTGAAGCAAACCACAGGGCCTGAGGCAGGCATGTGAACAACACAACTTTGACTTTACAATAATTCACTGCTACTATTATCTTAGCAACCTTTCAATAGAGTCCTGCAAAATCCAACAGGGAGGGGATTCCTTTGCTCTTTAAAGTCAAGGAAGTCCTAAACAGCTGTGTCTTTGTACAGGTTTTAGATTTTTTTTTTTAATTCATTCCAAATCCTGTAAAACAGAAATTGTTCTCTAATTAACATATTCCTAAAAGAATACGGATTAAATTTTTTTTTCAGCAATATTGGCCAAAGATTTTTGAATTTTGCAACACTTTTACAAAATGTGGTGCCATTTTTCCCAGTATGTCTGCCACTTGTCAGGTTCTGCGGTTTGTCGCTACCTCTTAACAAACAGCTTTAAATTCAGGGCTTTTAAAAGAACGCATAGAGCACAATGGTCAACTGAGTGCCTGCTTGCAGCAAAGGTTATTGCTGAATGTGTTTCTCAGCTGTCAGTTGTCAATGCATCCCACCCACACCCAGAGAGGCACAGATGGAGGGAACGTCCTTGCTGGATCTGTGCTGACCTTTCAGCAAGCTGGCTGGAGGGAGAGGATGAGGCTGCTGCTGGACTGTGGGAGGCAAAGGTCTGTGGGCAGAGCCAGCTCCTCTGTGTGCTGTGGGGCACTGCCAGCTGCAGGCACAGCCCCATCTGGCCCAGCTGTGATGAGGGCTCGGTCACATCCATGCAGTTTGCCAAGCCAGTGGTGCTCAGCCTGCAGTGGAACAGCCATGGGGCTACACACACAGGCAGGCCAGGACTGCTCATGCGGCATTTTATCTTTTGTCCTTTATGAAAACTGGATTTATGGCTCCTGGGTAAGCCTTTACTTTCACATGTTTCGCTGTGGAAGAACAAGCTTCCCACTTTCCTGCTATATAACACTAGGCTAAAGCCCTTTCTGGCAGCACTTCAGAGAGGCTGATGAAGCAGCACCAGAAACAATTTGACCTTACATTTGAAATTTTGACATAAGATCATCTGTAAATCCTACGAATTAGAGCTAAATGTTCTTCCTCTCCACAGTCTTCACTTCCTTTATCTTGCTTCTCCTCCCTTTCTCTGATCTCCTTTGCTCTGCACAAGCAACAGCTAGGAAAACATCTCAGGGATGGAATTTGCTTACTTATTTATTTTTTCATCTCCTGTAAAAAGAAAAAAAAATAGGTAACTATAATGTTTTTTCTAATGAATATAGTCTAGTAGTCTGGTTAAATTATAAAACAGATTAGTCCCTCTTAGTCTCCAGATAATTACATTAGCAAATTCATATTGAACTGAATGATAAAAATCTTAAAGTCCCATAATATATTTTGCTCAAGTTAATTAAGTTCTGCTAATAGTGGTGAATTAGGTTAATGTTAATTGTGTGAAGTGAAGTGAAGTGAAGTGAAGTGAAGTGAAGTGAAGTGAAGTGAAGTGAAGTGAAGTGAGTGAAGTAAAAAACTGCCCATGAGGCACACAGAGAGCTCAATCGGTTGTCAGATCTCAGGAAATCCTATTTTTAAGACCCATTCCTGGGTCTCCTGCTGCATACTGGAAGATTAGTTTTTAGGAAAGGTATAGTTTTCTGATACAAACGTTTTACACTTACCAAGATTCAGAAGAAAGGTGGATCTTTAAACACTAGCAAGAGTCTGAAATATTTTAATAGAATATACTTAACAGAAGAGCTGTGTCTCCACATTTCGGACTTGACCAGCCTCTGTTAAGATCAGAGGACTTCCAGGACTGATTTTTCTGCATCTGCCCTGGGGGGTTTTTATACCTTCTTCTCATGACCTCATTGGAGACAGGGCAGGATGTGGTCAAGTGTGTATTTGGTGGCACTCAGTACGGTCCAGCTCCCAGAAACCCAGCTCTTGCTATGCTATGGTGTTCAAAAGCTCCTATTTCAGACTGCACACTCTGGTCTGCTGGGTCTCTCAGCTGGGTAGGTGATAGCCTCAGTTTCACCAGGAAGGCAAGATGCTCTGTGATAATTCCTCAACTGATATAAAATTGGATGAAGCCTTAGAATTTGGCAACTGTTGCTCTGTCCTCACATCCTGTAGAACTGTGTAGGTACACAAGGATTTAAATCTCTGTGGATATCATTCTGCTGAATGACTTCTATAAACAGGGTTATGCAGATAAGTAGAAAGGACTCCGAGACTGGAATGTTAGATTATTATCTCTATCTATATCTATCAGCTTATATAAAATATATAATTAAATTTTAGATTGATGCTCTACAGATGTATTTGTCAGTCAACGCAAAAGCAAGCCAAACAACAAGATAACAAGACCAAAAGCATAGTTTGAAGTCTTGATTTTCTTTATCTTTGTTTCCAGGAACCTTCTTTCATCTCCTGCATTTGTATGAGCTGTGTGAATCATGTCATGATGACATCTCAAGGATGTATAGAAAGACCCAGCAGAAAGAGGCTGAGAGGCTGGGAGAATTAGGGTGGTCTGTGTGGGAGGTTGGGAAACTTGAAAGAGCTGAGGGATAAGTGAGCAGCTGCAGTCCACCAGGCAATTGTAGCTCTCAAGAAGTCAGTACATGGACTTTGCCTCTCCATCTTTACTGAACACCTACAGAGGGCCATAAGTTTTGTTGAAGGATCAGTTTTTACAATGAGGACTTTAATGAAAAGAACCACAATTACATAGTATTATTAACTATTTTGATTATTCATAAGTGCTGGAAAGTACTTAGGACATTTGCTGGGTTAAAGTCCCTAAGCAAGAAAAGGTGATCTGATGGAAATTAAAACGCCACCTCTAAATCCAGTTCTGTTTGCATGCATGTCAATTCTCAACATCACTGCACCACCATTTTTCTTCTTTTTCAGAAAATATTTAAATTTTCCCTTTGATTCAGTTCACCGCTGTCTTAATGTTATGTCACTATAAATAAACACATATCAGTCTTGGGTACATCTGGCATCTAATATGCCTTTAGCATGGATACTCTTTTTTAAAAGGGACAACGCCCAAGGCAAAGATACTATTTTCATTTCACCCTCTCACTCACCCTTGACTTATTACTGGGTTCATCACTGTTTTCAGATAGAGGACACAAAGCTATGAGAGACATAAAAGATCACCCTTTGAGGACAATGCTTGTCATCCTACAATCCACATGCCAAAAGCTTTGAGTAGTTAAAACACAAGGATGTCCAGGATTTTGCTCAGGGAGCTTAGGATGTGGGATGTCAGATACCTGGGAGTTTTCCACAGAAAGAAAACAGATGGCCTTGGATGAGCCCAGCCAGCTTGGTCTGATCAGGACTGATAGCGTTGGTTCCCTTACTCCTGGGGTTTACGCAGATACTGCACTAGCTGGGCTTCCCTGTGGACAATCATGTGAAGTGTCAGGGCAGTCCTGCTTGAATTTTTACCAGCAACTTAAGCACAGGTGCTGAAACTGGTCACCCCTGCTACCTCTGCTTTCTCAAGGGCATCCTTGCCACATTTATGTCCCCAGTGGCCATGCTGATTTCATCCTAAATGACTTGAGCAAAGAGATTCTCCCAAGGGAATCCCAGAGATGTAAAAGATATCTCTGGACTTAGATTAATTTCTGGTTTGGATGCTTTAATTTTTGTGTCTAGCCTTTCAGTTCCTGAATAGAATTATCCTTCTAACTAATCTTCCTTGCTTTCAAGATCTCCTTGAAATGCACAGTATTCATTCCTCTTACCCTCTTTATCCCAGAAAACGGATGTGCCTACTGTTGTCTTCTCTTGATCTCTTATATCTGAAAGAGGAAATTACCTTAAGCTGCAACAGCAGAGGTTTAGATTTGATATTATGAAAAATTTCTTCACCAAAAGACTTGTCAAGCACTGCATCAGGTTTCCAAGGCTGAGGACCAGGTTCCAGTAACAGACTGAGCCACCATCCCTGGAGGTATTTAATTCAAGTATAAGTGAGGCATTGGAGGACATGATTTAGTGAGTGATTTGGCATTGCTAGGTTAAAAGTTGGCCTTAATAACCTTAGAGGCTTTTTCTGACCTAAATGTTCTATGATTGTTATGTATCATTACTTCTAATTTCCTTGCTTCTGAATTCTGCGTTTCTTTTCTCTGATTTGCCTCCAATTTATAAACACAGCATTTCAGGCCCAGCTAAACCTACGTATAAAGCAGCAATCTCCAACCCTGCCTATTTACAACAATGACACTCTAGCCTAAAAACATTTGGAGTCAGTTCTAACATATTATGTTCTGGGTTGTTATTGTATCTAATCTGCATGCGACTCATGCCAGATATGTCCTTGCCATTGACTGCCAGTACGGGAACACGGAGTGGCTGGATTGCCTGCTCTGGTCCCACGGGTTGCTGCAGTGATGTGCCATCAGCCTCCAGGCTGGCACCTGGTGCTGTGCGGATCCCGGCCAGACCTCGGTGTGTGACGCACTTGCCAGCCCTTGTTGCAAACATCAAGGGAAACTCGGCCTGAAACTTTCTAAAGAGTTTTCCCCTCCCTGCCTCCAAACTCAAGAGGGAAAAAAAATGAATTAATTTTCTGCAAAACGCAAATGTTGGTGGTACCACAGTATCTAAAATCAGGCAATCATACACTCCCATCTTTACACCCTTCCTCTGAGAAATGTTTATGCCTTTGTAGCTGTACCTGATCCAGGTATGTATTTATGTGGGCAGAGGAAAGGGAAAAGACAAAATGGCTCACACATGCAATTGTCCACATTGCATAGAAATTGCAACCACTTGTGTGGCACCACAACTGCCTCAACTCATACGGTTTTGTCAGACTAGAATCTGACACAATCATAACAGTCCTGGATGTTCCTTTTTCATCTACACACAGAGTTCAGAAAGAAGGAAACAAGGGAAGGGTGCAATGCTCTTGTTTCTTTTCCTTTTCAGCACTCTTCTGGTGCTCTCCTGTCCCCTTTGTAACACATGCAAATGCTTCAACAGTTACTTTTTAATAAAAAACCAGCAGATTTTCAGGGCAGCTGGGAGGTTTTCTTAGGGGTAGAACGACAGACTTTGCAGTATAATAGCATACAGATGTTGTGACACAGCTTGCTAAGGGCATAACCCAAACCCCCTTAGACACACTAATCTAATACTCTGCCAGTATTTATTCTTTCCCAGCTGCAGAGAGAGTGTGGAAATGCCTTGAAGCTTCATTGGAAGGGGGAAGCTAATGAACAGTGAGGAGTGAAAGGCAGGAATGGAGATAAAGGTCTGCATACTGAAATAGCAGTAACACACTGGAGTACATCCTGTTGTGATATATATACATTTTGCTCTAATTCCTCCCTTGGGCAGTTTGAGAATGGAAATTTTTTTCTCAGAGGAAGTATTCTTGCTACTGATTTTATGGAGGAGCAGCAATTTCCGTAAATAGGATAATACTGGAGAGTAGTTAGAGATCCCTTTGTCAGATATGAACCCACTCTGTTAAATGCTGGCGCTATCTAGAGCAAAGCATTGGTAGAAGCACAAAGATTATCAGAAATGCCATGTGCACTATTTCAGAAAAAAAAAAATAAATTAAGGGCTAAATACTATTTCCGGTAATATCAAGATGATTCTTCATTAGGTCAGCACCAAAGGATGTAGGTGTTTTTACAGCTTCAGCTTGCCCCTGTATTTAAAATATTTTTAATAACGTATTTCATTATTTTCCAGGGGGTCATTAACCCACAGGTTCAGGTATAGATTATACTATGCTTATCAATGGTGCACTGTGCAGCTCTGGTGTTGCTGTTAAATTTGACATAAATGCCCTGCAGAGGTCCTGAATCAGCCCTAGCAACCCTGGCTGGGGGACTAAAAGAAGTAGTAATATACTGGGAAAGATCTTCAGCATCTCAACTAGGAGCCTGAAAAATCACTAAAACCCAACAAGGAGCAATCTTTAAAATCCTATCAGAGCCTTACGTGCAAGGTAGGAATCCCACAGTTGCATTCATGGTATTTTTTAAAAATGAAACTGCATATGAATTTCATATGAAAAATCAGTTTTCTGGGGGACAGCTGCCAGCTGAACAGTTTCAACTTTATCTACCATTAACATGACTGACAGGAAGAGGAATATTCATCTGCATGGAACAAGGAGCTAATGTACGTCCCAAGAACTGTGAGGAAGAGGGTGTACTGCTAATGTAATGAATTTCTACAGTGCTATGAGAAGTGTGAAGGGACTGTAAATCTAATGATGAGAGTGAGTAGCAGCTTCATTACCTCCAGTATATTTTCTCATTTTTGCTGCTATAGATTTGGCCCTATGTATATCTGTATATCCACAGAAAAGAATGGTGGGATTTTTTAAAAAATAGTTTATAAACAATTGTGCACAACTCCCAAACTTTCTTTAGAAAGTAATTTGCTTGAAGTTTTTCTAAATATCTAAATATTCCAGAAAAAATGTCAAATATAATAATCTGGGGTTTTTTTCTTCCCAGAAAATACTTGGCATCCTGCAAGTTAAGAATGTCTCCACATTCTGGGTGTTTATAGAGCACTTCCATCAGGGTGCTTGTTTATTCTGGATTCAGTCCAGGATACAAGGCCGGTCCTAGATGGCTGCTGTTGACAAGAGAACAATGTATGACTGATCATGTGATATTATTCTGATCACAAAGCACCTACACAGTTTATTTGTGCACTGGGGCAACACAGAAGCACATATAAAAAGTCCTCTAGATTGAAACATCTTGCTCTTTCCATAGAGAAGAATATAAACAGCTACCAAGGGGACAAGCAGAAACATTAGGCTGTAAGGCAATACTTGACTTTCTCAGAAAGTTCAAAAGGTTACAGAGAGCTGTTCCCTTTCTCAAACTGTCTGTATGGTGGCGATTTAGGTTTCAATCCTTGGTGCCACCCACAGAGTTCGATAAACCTCTCTGAATTTCATACTTGCTCTTTCTGGACAAAAAAATCTCGTAATGGGAAATATGGCATCAGACCCAAGCAGAAGGTGCACAGAGCACATGTCAGTCTTCATGAGGAAGGGACAGGGTCTCTATTGCAACAGAGTGGGGGATTGCTGATGTGAGTGACAATAATCAGGATATTACTCATGCTGTTGGACATCAGAATTGTGCCTGCTCAGTACTTGCAAAGGATTTGATCTTGTTACCTTTGCTTACATTTCAGTATCAGTTTCTCAAAAGCACTTCAATTTCATCTATGGTCAGTGAGACTGAAGCATGTAACCCCTATATGTATTCATTTAAATTTCTCCATTAGTAGCCAATTTTTACAGCTGTCCAAGGGATTAACCCTGATACAAAAATCTGAGGTGCAGGCAATCCTAGAAGCACAGCACAGAGTTGTGTTTTCCTGCTTCCCGACCTCCCATTTGGAGGTTCTTTCTCTGTGACTAGATCTTAGAGATGCCTGTCCAGAATTTCCACTTTAAAGCTTTATCTTCTCCTTGTAAAAATCCTCTGGGTTGGAATTTAGTTTCAGGTATGCTTAAAATTAGTAGAAACAAATTTTACATTAAATTACCAATGTAGGAATTAAAAGAAACCTCCAAATTATTTGACTTCAGACCTTGGTTTGTACTCCTCCTGCCCTGAACAGGAATTACTTACAATGTTTTTCCTCCAAGGTAGCTTTAAACATCTGATTATGGTTAAAAATAAAAATATTTGGATATGTACACATTTAAAATGTGATTGTGATTGAAAAGTAATCTTTCTCTCCTAAGAGACTTCAGCATATATACACATGCTTTTCACAGGAATGCAGATTAAGAAAGATCTATTTTCCAACGTAATACTCAGAGTGCCAAAAATATACATAAACATTTCAGAGGAGACAAAAGCCTGTTCTAATGTTAATCTTTGGGGTAAGAAAAAGTCACTGTACTGTGGGTTTATGTGCTCAACAATTTGAATGCCAAAGAAGTCTGACTTTTCTGCTGACTTACAATGAATCACAAGGTGTATGAAGAAGGAAATTTTTATTCACTAACTAACAGTTACATTTTTCAACAAACAAACAAGCCCAAAAAACCCCAACCAAACAAAACCTCCCTACCAGAATCATCAGCTGTACAGGTTTATAGCTAGTTATAGACAACTCATGGGGGAGATTTTTTCAGACCTTTTCTTTTACCATCAGATTCTCCACTTTTTCATCTTACTTTATGCAGCATGGATGTAGCTATAAGCTGTAATGAGAATTCTTCTGAGAGAAGTTTACTTTATAAGCTTTGCTATAAATGATATATGGCACAACCTACTGCCAAAATTCTCCATCAGACATCAAAGACTACTTTAAACATCTATCTAAGTACTTTTACAGAAGTTCATCACTACTCAAATTCTTATGGGCTATGCATCATAAAATAAAGGAAAATAAGTAAAATTAAGTTAACTAATTTCTTTAAATTAAATTAAGAACATTTTTAATTAAGTAAATTAGGTTAAAAAAAATTGCAGCAGCAAAAAATTCTGATAAACCGTTTACTTCCAGAATCAGGAGACCTCAATTAAGACTATCTGAGCTCATATACACTCATTTCAGAAGGGTGGGATTATGATACCTGTAATGGGCCTAAACACAAGCTGCTTATTTGAAGAATGGGAATAGAAAAATATTGAATTCTCAATAAAGATGGGAATGGATAAATGGAACAATAAATGTGTTTCATCAGTCTGGGTCCTGTGTGATAAAGAATATACCTTGGAGTGTACTATCAGCAGGAAAATGTTTTGCTGCCAGATAACTTGGAATGTGTTAGTAAAAACCGGTTTCATAGAAATTCTCCAGTATTTCAGTGTCTGAGTTTAAAACTACATTTTGCAGCTATTTTCCTGTCTTCTGGGTCCTGCCTGTGTGTAGTACAGGGTAATTTCTTTTTACATGAAAGCAAACAGCAGCAAAATTGGTATATTTTGGGTGCAAAAACTAGTTTCTGATTCATTAATCTAGACCTCAAATATTTCAATTCAATTAGTTGTTTACAAAAAGATTCTGATCTTACTTTCTTTGTGGCTTTTGTGGTTTTAAGATTAATCCAATTGCTGGAAGAAAATCTCTGGGGTCAAACACATTGCAAAATTCTAAAATGTTCCACGTCAGGAAAAAAGAAAATGGATTAAAAAAAGGGAAATATTTTCACAGAGTTCATGTCATATTGGGCATCAGCTGTGTATGAGCTTCAGCCTCTCCAGCTCTGGGGGCTTTCCTGCTGTGACAGGACCAGTGATGGCAGCAGTACAGCCAGCTCGTGAGCCCAGGAGGTCTGTCACCTTGTGCCTGCAGGCAACATGCTTGGGAGATGCAAAAATCTGGGTCCAAAATCAGCACAGCCTTCAAGCCCAGCATCACAGGAAGCAGAGTGCAGAAGTGTTTATTCTTCTCCCAATTCTCTGCTATCTGGCAACTCTGCACACATTTCCGCCAGGAGTTTCCAACATGTCAGTAGCATGGTGAGCTCTGAATATATT